GACTCTGACTTGCCTGACATTACTTGAGACTTGACTTGAGACTTGAGGATAAAGACTTGAGACTTGCAAAACAATGACTTGGTCCCACCTCTGGTTTAGACAGAGCCCCCCTTAGCGAAGCAGACAAACACTGGTCACATTAACGCATGTTTTGAGTGGACCAAATGTAGGTACATAGCACACGCACCGGACAAAAAGAAAGCATCCTTCTCTGCTCCTCAGACGCAAGAGGAGGGGAGCAAAAGCTCAGCCACTCAATGTCCATAGAGCTAGAAGCTGCAGGAATGACCGTGGGAAAATGGGCAGCATTCGGGCACAATCAGGAGAGAACTGTGTGCAGGAGGGATGCACAGGCAGACGATGAAGGTCACCCACTCGCTTTGCCAAAGCGAGAAGCATATTATATAATATTTCATATCCAAGACCTAATGGGTTCAAAAAAGGGGGCGCTCCAGCACCAAAGACAAGTCCCCTGCAGGGACACTGTACTTAAACTTTATTGTCATGACACATGTACAAATACAGGGTATCGAAATAAATTCTGCATCTAATCAGAAGTGCAAGAGCAGTAGGTGCAATAAGAGCAGATTAACCTAACCACAGGTCTCAGCTGGCAAACCCCTTTTAAAGAACGTATGGCGAGGGCATGTGCACCTGGTGTCACCCTGTCAAAGTCAATATGACAAGCAGATATAGCTACTAAATAAACCTTAACTGTAGAAAATGAAAGGGCCTCATCCAGCAGCTCCTGCAGGAATGTCAACACATCCACAACAGAGCACTGGAATTGGAGAGTGTGGCAGTCTCAGCAACATCGCTCCAAGGCCTGCTATTTGTGAGGGTACCAGCCTCTAGTGGACGCTGCGGTAGCAATCAAGATTGACCAGGTAAGCATGAAGGCACCACAGATCCGGGTGTGGGTGAATCACAGGTGAGAGGAGGTCCCTGTGGAGAGGAAGCTGCCAAGGACTCACTGCCAGCAGACCAATTACAGTATCTCTGCATACCATGACCTTGTGGGCCACCAAGGGGCCACTAGAATCAGAGAAAGACACTGGTGAGGCTCTCTCTAGAACTGGAGATATCATTGCCACTGAGAGGAATGCATACAGGAGCACGTCTGGCCATTGGTGCGCTTGCACGTCCATGCCCAAGGGTGCAATGTGGTCAATTAAGGAGAAGAACAGGGGGCAGTGAGTGTTTACCCTGGAGGCAAAATGATTGGTGCAATTTGCGCCTTGCCAAACAGATCCCAAATCTGGGCCACTATCAAAAGGGTGGAACCTCCATTCCCTCACCAGAGGACCCCCTGTGGAGAGAAGGTCTGGCCCCAGGTTCAAATGGCCCATAACATAAGCGGCTCTCAAAGACATAAAACGAACACTGCACCATAACAGTAGAGAATAAGACAGATTCAACAGGGGAAGGGAGCGTCTTCCTCCCTCCCTGTTTATGTAAGAGACCTCTGTTGATTTGTTTGCACTGACTAGGACATGCTGGCCCCTCAGAACTGGACAGAAATGAGCTCCCATTTATGCATATCATCACCGGCCATCTGCCGGTCGCAGCAGATGGCCCCACCCCTCCCTGAGCCTGGTTCTGCTGGAGGTTTCTTCCTGTTAAAAGGGAGTTTTTCCTTCCCACTGTCACCAAAGTGCTGCTCATAGGGGCTCATATGATTGTTGGGTTTTTCTCTGTATGTATTATTGTAGGGTCTACCTTACAATATAAAGCGCCTTGAGGAGACTGTTGTTGTGATTTGGCGCTGTGTAAATAAAATTGAATTGAATTAAAATGCTTGAGAGCCAAGAACACTGCTAGCAGCTCTTAGTGGTTGATGCACAGATCACACTGGGCTGTGGTCCAGATCCCTCTCACTGATGTGCCCTCACACAGTGCTCCCCACCCCCTTAGGGAAGCATCTGTGGACACCACCTTGTGAAACAACACCCTGATGCAGCACCCCGGCTCCCTACAGGACCAAGAGCTAGCATGCAAGATGCAGCACTGAAACAATTCAAGTGGCACTACAGTGATCATAGAGTAAATCAGCAATGAAATGCAGCTGACAAACGTGCACAGCTGGAAAGCAAGCATATTTCCAAACCGAGGACAGAAATGTGCTGACTCTGAACTAGCAAGCTCTTTGAAAGTTCACAGAGAAACCCAGTGCCTGAATATTTGACAGAACCAGAGGCAGCTGTGTCGCCACCTACTCTCTGGAGCAAGCTACAAGAGCCCAGTCATCTACATAAGCTAAGATGCAAATGCCTCCCTCTCTGAGGAATGCCAATGCTGCCTCGGCACATTTTGTGAAAGTGCGAGGAGCGAGAGACAACCGGAATGGCAGCGCTAGGTATTCATAGCCTACGCCCTCGAATCCAACCTCAGAAACTGCCTGTGGTTCGGGTGTATAGCCACATGAAAATAAGCATCTATTAGATCAGTTGGTTTGAAACAATCTTCCAGGCCGACTGCATTCAAAAGCTGATTGTTAGCATCTTCAACTTGTACCTTTGTAAATATTTGTTCAAGACTCGCAGGGTGAGGTCCCAGCGGGCTGTCATCAGGAAACAGCAATCTGAGCTCCTGGTACATCCGGAACATAGTGACGGAGCTCATGACTCGGATGAAGCCGGGGCCCCAGACTCAGATTGGAGAGGGTCATGGAGTGCGACAACCGTATGTCCCAGCACTTTCCCCACAAACACCACCTGTCTTTCCAGCCTCGAGCGCCGGAGCTAGTGACAAAATAACAGGCTTCGGCTCCATCAATGCTCTCATAGCGTGGACAATCTCAAGGCAGACGGGGCACGCATCGTGCTGGTCCCTGTCGTGCAAAGAGAAACCGCACCCCTGAGGACAGGGGCAAACAGAAGATTTCTGCCTTGCTTGCTTTGATTTGGTGTCCATTCCAAAACGCTAAGGAAAACTCGAACTTATCGCTCCACGGGCATCCTATGCACCAACTGTGCATTGGAGGCCAACACCAACAGGGGCAGTTAAGCTAACTTCAAGGCGGCAGACAACAGAGCTAAATAGAAGGGGGAGGATGCTTATGTGTTGTGCCGAGTGAAACCACTGAAAGGGAACCAGAATTGCTTTATTGAAGAAGTCTTGAATCTAGGAATTGCAAACAAAAACTCATCAACTAAGCAGCAAGGTAATTCTGTGGTTCATTAAGAACTGATTTGTTTTTGGAGCCAGCACAACACCCTGTGAAGTGATGTAAACATAACTGTGTGTGAGTGAGTGAGAGCGCTGACCTGCCAGGTCTGAGCAGTGACTGGTCCAGCAGGTCTGGACGATTTGTGGCTCCGATTACAAAAACCCCACCAGATGAGTGCAGCGCATCAAGCTCAGCCAACAGCTGAGACACAACTCTGTACAAGAAGGCAAGTAAAATTTATCGATGGTACAAGAGCTGAGCACAGTAAATTATGTCTCTCAGTAGGGCTGCCACAAACGATTGTTTTGATAGTCACCGATTATTTTTGCGATTAGTCAACTAATCAGATCATCATCCGTTGGACGTAAAACGTACAGCTTATTGCACCAGCAGCATCTGCTCTTATATAACTATCATTAGCTGACAGCTTTAAGTGTTTAAGGTCTGTGCTAACTAACAATAAAGACAAGATGATAGTTTATTACATTTTGATGAAGTTTGCAGATTGTTTCGGTGAAGTTTAATAAACTCCTTGCTATCTCAAATATAACAGGACACCGGAGTAAACTCTGGAGCATCTCACACTTCTGATAATCAGCTGTCTGCTTGAAGTTTATTCAGCTGTGTAAAAACTATAACTTTAATCTCAGCCAAACCGATTTACTCAGGAACAAATAAAATACTAAAAAAAGCCAAACAATAACATTTTAAGTTATCTAAGTGACTCATATATCATGTTTAACCTGAGTAGCGAAAGACGGCGATGGGTTTGAAAACAGCCGGTGTCACTAGAGCCGGTGTTCTCACGGCTCTAGTTAGCCTAGCCCCCGGCTAGCTATCGAGCTAGTGGGTAACAGACGTCTCCGAAAACGTCGGAGTGCTTTTGAAAATATGCGGTGTCCTGATAAACTGAGCAGATATTTGAGGTTTACACAGCTACATTCTCCCTGAAAATATGTTAAACGTTTATTTTGTGACCCAGAAAGAATAATAAGAGTAATGTTAAAGCTAACTAGCTGCCGCCATTGTTGGAAACTGAGCTGGGCTGCGCTATTAATTCTGGGACACAGTTTCTTCTTCTTCGGGGTTTAACGGCAGCTGGCATCCTTGTACATGCAGTGCTGCCATCTTCTGTTTCAGTCCGTTATTACACTCTTAAATCCTACTACTCATTCCTGCTTTTGTGATCTTACAAAGCTTCAAACGACGCGTCGACTATTGAATCAGTCGTCGACGATTTTGATAGCCGACGTAATCGTGACTAGTCGACCAATCGTGGCAGTACTATCTCTCAGTCAAGGTGCCATAGAGTGCCTCCCAATAATGAAAAAGATTCATTTCTTTTGAACAAAAAAAAAAAAAGAAAAATCAGAAACAACAAATATTATAAATAATCAAACAAAATAAAAATGAAGGCGTGCACACACCTGTCCATCACCCCTCCAGAGTCTCCACTGCGCCCTCTGCTGGGAGCCAGAGAGTCTAGCTCGTCAAAGAAGATGACGCAGGGAGCTGCTGAGCGTGCTCTGTGGAAAACTGATGGCAATCCACATCACGTACAAAAATATAACATTTACTTAAAAATGTGTTCCAATTTAACTCTGGGTGATACGTTTCTGGGAACAAGAATATTATTCACTGTAAATGCAGCAAAACAAAAAAGAACAAACAGGAAGAGACGACAGTTTGTTTGTTTTTTAAAGTGAGCCATTTTAAAAAAATAAACTTCAATTTTTTCGGTAATGGCTTAAAGAAGGAGCGGCACTGTCCAGGCACTCTGCCATGTTAAAATGAAACAGTGTTCCAAGACAAACAATAATGTGGCTTTATAGTAACTCAGTGAGTTTTCAGTCTCAGACGTTAGCTTGAAACTAACAACATTACCAAAACAAATATGGTTGAATGTAAAGACTAAGAAACACCTTCTCTGATGTTTTCTTCACTCTGACCCACGTACATGTTGATGAGCTCTGGACCTTTGACACTAAAAGACAGAAGTAACAGTGTCAGTGAACAATTGCTGATTCTTTTCAGCGTGACGCCTTTCTGCCTGTTTCGTTCCTATGAAGTGGAACGAAATCTACCTGAGGAAAGTCATGGAGCACTCAGTAGCCACAGCTTTGGCCAACAGAGTCTTTCCTGTCCCTGGTGGTCCACACAGCAGGATTCCAGTCCGGTTCAGATCCAGAGACAAGAGCTGAGAACACTGCAAAGGAAGCTGAACCGTGTCTAGGATCTCCTTCTTCACATGCTGGAGACCGCCGACATCCTCCCAGCGCACATTAGGTATCTACTCACAACACGGACACAAAGGACAACAACGTGGTGAAACAAGAAACAGCTGCTTCTTTCCAATTTATTAAGCTGCACCTGTGACACATGAGGTGTGTGTGTGTGTGTCTATACAACAGGAGTGACTTAAACACAACTCTCCACTCTCACTGTAAACAAACAACCCGATGACACACAGAAGTCTTTACTGTTATATTCACTTTTTTGTAAATAATGAATATTATGTTTACACAAACAAAGATCACTGCCTGTTGTGTCAGTTCATTTTTCCAAACATGGACTTGAATTTCTAAAAACGGAGTAAAGGTTATTCCGCCGCTTTGGTCGACTCCACCACAGTCTGCCACAGACAACCATTCATGCACAACAACTTGTGTGTGTGGCCTTATTAGGGGCGCTAACAACAACGACAGCAAAAATGGAAATATAACGGTCTTTTAGTCTTTGGTCACCTTCGGGGCTCCGATGGCCTTGGACAGGGTGTCCTGCAGGATCTCCAGAGCAGAGGTGAAGTCCTGGTTCAGGATGGTCACTCCGCTGGAGCACAGATCCTCCTGCTGCCGAGCACCACTGCACAAACAACAATAAAGACGGAACTACAGGCTGTTCAGTGAGACGATCAAGTATTCACACAACAACAGTGGGCGGTAACCTACAGCATAGAACAGCCGTATTTAAGACACAGACAACAGGATACGTAAGAGGCAAAAATTTACAAAGCAGCACTGTACCAACTGTTGTCTCCACAGTTCTTTAAGCACGAGGTATGCAGGGGTGAGGGAGATATGGTGCTGTGGAGAAGAAGCTCTCTGAGGGTTCTACACCAGGGGTGGGGAACTCCAGGCCTCGAGAGCCGGTGTCCTCAGCATGTCCTCAAGTTCTCCAGAGGCCTGGCAATGAACTAATCATGTGATTCAGGTGTGTTGACCCAGGGTGAGATCTAAAACCTGCGGCCCTCGACGCCTGGAGTCCCCCACCCCGGTCTACACCTTTTTCCAGGAGGCAGAAGGATGTTCAGTCGAGACCTGAGAGGGGAGCATTCAAGCTTTCCATACTGAATTAGAGCTTCAGACACAAAAACCAAGAAGCTGAGAGCACCGAGCTTCAGCGTTTAAATACCCCACCACCTCGCTGTTTCCAGGACCACAACCTTCAAAACCAACATGTTTCAGAGACTCGGTTATAGACTACAGGTGATGAAGTATGACACATTTGATCTGGACTAGAAGGTAATCTTGTCCTGTAAGACGTAGTTATTCTCACCAGCTGTGGATCAACCTCCTGTAGGCAGCTCTACCAGCCTCAACCAGCAAAGCACTGAGGTCCCCCAACACGAAACCCTGTGGAGCAGAGGAAGAACATGTGGACTGAAACAGGAACCACACTCGGGAAGGGCAACCAGCATCCAAATCCAGCCAGCTGTGGCAACACGGGAGCAGCTAGAAGAAGCTTTTTGGCTTCATGGTTAGAAACAACCTGAAGCCTCCCCCAGAGTAGCTTTACAGATTTGGACCAACACAGCTGCCTAACATGTTGTCACCTGAACGCCTGAGCTTTAACAGTTCATTCTGCCCCAGTGGTGGTGTGAGTAGAGTCGATGTCATTACTCACTGTGGTGAGTCTGGAGAGGTTCTCCAAGTTGACGTCCTTCCCTAAGTGCAGGTCTCTGCTCAGGCTGGACAGCATGGCACGCCGCTGCTCTTCAGTTGGACTCTCTATTGCTACCTGATGGACAAACGCTGCCATGATGCCTGCAGGCAAATCTCGAACTTTGCAGACAGTTGCCACCATCACCACACTGAAAGATAACCAGAGACATTTGATTATATTCTGAGCCGTGGCTCACACAGGAGACTTCCAGTTTGACTAAAAACACTTCAAGTCTCTGCTGCTCGGAAGCAGAGCCGAGTGAAAGTGCAGCTGTTGGTGTGGCGCCGAGTCATACTCTGCGCTCCTGTAGTGGTGCGTGGTTTACAGGTAGGGGAGGTAATAAAAGGAAAGCTCATTTCATCAACATGATCACCTACTCGTCGATGAGCTAGACCAGTGTATTGAATGAGGGTTAGAGGCAGTCACTGACCTGGTGGGGGCGCAGCTGAGCAGCTGGCAGAGCTTTGCCTGGACCCTGCAGTCGCTCTCGGCAGCCCCTCGTGATCTGAGGACGAGCTGCAGGTTCCTGAGCAGCAGAACGCAGGGCTGCAGGGCCTCGGCCCTCTGAAACACTGACGCCAGCTTTACCTCAGAGGCTGCAGGACTGTCAGCGCACAGGCTCACACAGTCTACCTGCAAACGAGGAACAACAGCAGCCAAACAATACGTTGCCTTTTATTTAAAGACAAAATATTCTCCTGCAGAGAGGAATCATGAAGAATGTGCTGGTGTCTAATTATCTTATCACTCTAAACCTTGAGCACAGCTGTTGTACCTTCAGCAGGTGGAGGTTTAGTCTGCCACTTGCTGCCCTCACTGCTGCCATCTTTCCACTTCCTGCAGCACCGTGAAGGAGGACCGTGCAACCAGACAGAGAGCTGCTGCGAGCAGACATGCAGCCAACATCAGCAGTGTGCCATCATGTTACTGAACTAGGTTTGTTTATGTGAACTTCAAGCTCAGGTCCTATTGAGTTGTATTTTTCACTGCCTGATGTTGTAAATCGGAGCAGACAGGTCGGTTACCTGTGCTGCAGGTGAGGCAGGATGGTGTCGATGAGGAGCTCCACAGTCTTGTTAAGGCCTGGAGGAGACAGAGCTGCTCCCTCCACGAGAGAACATGGGACGGGGCTGTTTATAGATGTTCCCTGAGGAGATGGGGGAAGCTGTCAGAGCAACAACGCTGACTAACAACAGCTTAGATTTAGAAAAGACTGCACTGTGAGCAGGATCCCTGCAAACAAACAGTCTCATTTACTCGCTGTGATAAATCAACAGTGCCTGCAACCCTGTTACCCCCGAGATAAGGCAGTGCAGGCACAGAGGACGTGAAAGACACACACACGAACGAGGGGCAAAAATAATAACAAAATGAGAAGGAAAGAAAAACTACAAAGACAGGAAACATGCCAACAAAACACTGAAGATGGAAATGAGATCAAATAAAGAAAAAGTGCATCTATTGTGAGTCAGGGCTCCCCTGAGCTAGCGCCCTCAGACACAGCTAAGCTGCTGTCTGACACTTTGGGAAAAGCCTTCATTGGACAGACAGGAAGGCAGGGACACAGGGAGGGAAGCGGGTTGGACTCCAACCCAGTGAGCTAAAAATGGGTTTATTCAACGGTTTAAGTAAAGCATTGAGATCAGCTGGCTGACATGGTCACTAAACCATATCAGAAGAAAGCTTTTACAGGATGTGTTACACTGAGGTATTCACCAGCTTCACAGCATTCAGCTGCATCTGAGCAGACAGTCCAACCCTGTGCACTTCAAAATGAATTCTTTTAATTCTATTTTGTTGTACTTTTTCAACATGTTCAAAATAAAGATTCAATCAAATCAAATCAAATGGTACACAGATGGATTCTTATAGAGCGCTTTTCTACTCTCCCGGAGTCCTCAAATACAACACGCCGCATTCACACAATCACACCCATTCACTCTAAACTGAGTGCTTTCTAACTACATCCACACTCCAATCATCGGGGAGCAACGTGGGGTTAGTATCTTGCCCGAGGATACTTTGTGGAGCCAGGGATTGAACCACCAACTTTCCGATCAGTAGACGACCTGCCCTACACCTCCTGAGCTACAGCCACCCATGAATGCTACTTGAACCAGTAGTCACACAATCATTCATGAACACCAGTAACCCAGTTTCACTGGCAGCGTATCCAAAATAAGTGTTGAACACATCACCAACTAAACGGATGTGTAGAAGTGCTGCTGCATGAAATTTTCAACAAATGTCGACAACTACTAATTAAATCCACACATGCAAAGAAATCAAACCATAGACGTCCATAAATGATGAAATGCCACAGGGACACAGTACTGAACACATGAAGAAAGGGAGCTGCAAACAGGCGCCAGCTGAACCCGATCAGTAATCAGAAAGCAACACTCAGTGCACATATCAGCGGGTTCAGTCCCAACTGATAGCCTATAAAAAGGTGTGTCATTACCAAAGTGTCACACAAGAAACAATCATACTTCACAGCCTTATTGTTGCAAACATACTGATGGCATCGCTTACAGAAGAATTTCTAAACTGCTGGAGACCAGAACATCAGCTCCCCGTGAACTGGCCTCGACCAGCTGCTGCCCTCAGGATTTCAGACAGAGTGAAAAGAATTACTGAGAGTTGTCCGAGGGGCCGACATGTGCAGAGCTACAGAAAGGCTTAGGACCAGCAGGTGCATCAGTGCACTCAACCACCCTGACCTGCATGTGCGCTTACCACGCAGGACTCCATAGCTGCAGACAAAGCGTGTTTTAAGCTTGCTGAAGAACATTTAGACGAGCCTGTGAAACACTGGTCTGGTCAGATGAGGCCAAAATCAAAGTCTCTGGATCCAACAACATACCGCATGTTTGGAGCGCACAGAGGAAATGAAATAAAGAAGAATGACTGAGGTTAGCGGTCACTGTTCACCACATAGAGCGAGGTACGCTGTCTGCTGGCCAAGTAAGCTCCTCCTCCTTCTTCTCTTCCTGCAGATGAGCATACCTTCTGCACCCTGAAGAACAGCACCGGACACCTGAAGACGTTCAGAGGACACATTTTTCACTGAACAGTCAGACAGTGATGCAGTGCATTAGCTACGGCAGTAAACAGTTTCTAACTGCAGCGTCTCTGGTGCCCTCCAAAGAACACACAGCATCCTCCACTGCACCAAAGAATAAAACAGTTAAATGTGGATTTTTAAACATTAGTTTTCTCTCTTCTGAGCTTTGTTGATTTACTCTTACAGCAATCTGATGATTATGATGGCCTAAACGAATCCACACATTAACAGTCTGGGTCTCTGGTTGCTTAATAAGCTGTAGTAGGAGATTGCAGCCACTCCTGCTCCTCAGCCTGTGTGTCGACGAGAATTCAGAATTCAATTGAATTTATCTGATTTCTCAGGATTTTTCGGCCTATTGTTTAGAGCTCAGCTCAGACAAAATGATTATTGTGGATGATTCCAACATTAATTTAGAAACTTACAGCCTGAGAGTGGTTTTTGATCTATTAGGCTCAATTTGCTTCTCTATAAATGTAAATGAACCCAACCACCAATGTTCTGACATTTAACAGTATTCTCTGAGAAACCTCGTCTGATATTTCATTTATTAAAATGTTTGAATTATTTTTTCAAAAGTTTTTATCTTGAACAAAACAAGTGCTCCTAAGAAACACTGATCTGATTTAGGTAATGAGCATAAAGACTTGTCTTATTAACCAGTAATAAGCGGCACCTGTGGATCCCTTCAGGGGGGGTCTCGAGCAGGTCTGGATGGTTTCCAGCTGGAACGGTCAGAACGTCTCCTGGTGACACCAGCCTGAAACGAGCCCAGACAAACTGCTGGAGTAAAACAGTGCTGCTTTCTTTCTACATGTTAAGGACACTGTTTGGATGCATCAGTCAACCTGGGCGTGCAGAAATGTTGAGCCAGCAGGTTGTCATAGCAGCCCAGGTTGTTGTAGGATGGAGAGGTGACCAGCTGGATGTGGAGCTCGCTGGCATACGGTGGAGAAGCCGAGCGGCAGAACGTGTCAGAGCGACAACCACTGGGTTGTGGAGGAGGGGGGTCCCACCTCTGAGACCAGACGAGAGACAGAAACAAAAAAACCAAACACTGAAGGTTTGCTGATGGGATGAAACCTTTTTTTTTTTGCTTCACAGCGAGAAGGTCCTGGGTTCAAATTCAGGATATTTATGGTGTGAAGTGCACAACCCTGGATAACTTTAAGAAGAAGGATCAAAATCGTTTAACTGATCAAATATGAGTCTTCAACAAATATACAATGCCTGCTGGCGACAGTTTTTTCCTGTTGCACTGACACTTTATTTGAATGAATTTGGAATCCTGGAATAGAAGAAACTCTTCCAGATTAATGGATCATCAATCAGACCTGTACAAAAAGAGCGACTGGTGAACACTGGCACTAATGCAGTCCGTCAGACAGCTGATTCCTCTGTGAGCACCCGCTGAGCGTTAAAAATGTAAAGTCATTTAAAAACCTGATATTCGAATGTATGTGAAGAAACAGACTTGCTCACAGCTGTGCAGTAGTTTATTTATCCGACTCTGCTGCATCCAGCTGGTGGCTGTGCTTATAGTTTTCCAAACACGTTTCCAAGTCGAACATACTGTTTGTGGCCCATGTCTGGTAAGGGTGAGCAAAAGGTTAATGACAGGAAGCAAACCCTGATTGGTTCATACTCTTACCTACTTTTTTCTAAAGTGCGGACCAATTCGAGAACAACGGGCCCGTGGGCACAGACGTGTGACGACGGGGCAACCAAGAATAAAACTGATTTACTGGGAGTTACCGTGCACTTACTCTGAAAGTCAGCCTGGCTCTCTCAGTCTTGGATTAGTGTATGGGCTTACTGTTTAGGTGTTGTGTTCCTGACATGATTTAACTACCTCCTCACAGCAATGCACTCCTTGGCTGCAGCTGGTGACATTTCTTCTGCTCTGAAGACTCGCTGTGAGCTTCTCTACATTCAACTAGTTTGCTCATCGAGGCTACAGAGCAGAGCAAGGACGACTGCCACCAGGTGCAGTCCACCCACAGCACAAAACGCCCACTGTGCAGATGGCTGGCTAATCTGTTATCTGGTTACAGTTGCTCGTTTACTGAAATGTTTGCAGAGTGTGTTGAAGCACCTTCATCCTGAGCATAAAGCTGTTTACAGGGATCACTTCTCCTCCAGTCATGTTGAACCACAGAGGAGGTGATATGAGGCCCAGGTCGTCATGGCTCTGTAGTTCTGGACTTGGTAGCAGATCCATCACCACCACAGAGACCAGCCTCTCTCTGCAGATGCCCCCCGTGACATCGCCCTCTCCTGTGGGTCCTCTGGATTCGCCGAGCTTCGACAGCCGTACCCACTCCTGGTTGAAAAGCCCCAGTCTGAGAAGCAGCTGTTTGGTCACAAACACACAGCTGTGCAGGTCCACGGCTACCCCATATTGTTCTTTGAGCTCGAGCCATCGCTGGGTGTCCATTACCCGAACTTCCACTCTGCATAGCAGTGGACACGGGACACCTGGGAACCCAGAATCCAGCACGCTCCTGTTATCAAGCAGACATGGGCCAGCACAAAGGCCATCAGCGTAATGAGCAAAGTCTGACACACAGAGTCTGAGTGGCCTGCAGGGTGGGGGGGTGACTGAATCCCAGCAATCTGTCAGAACCAGAGAGGTATCAGCTGTGATCCTGCCCTGTTTTACAGGACTGCACTCCAGCACCAGCAGCTCCAACAGCTGATGCTGCACCATGAACAGAAAACAGAAGCAAATCAGTCTGTATTCTCATACCTCCATCATATATTTATTTCAGAGCTGTAACAAGAAGCTGCTCAGTGGAAAATGATTCACTGCGATTATTAGAATCAGTGAATCGCTGAATTTAGAGCTTTGAACAAAACAAATAACATGCGTCTTTGTCTTCAGCTGCCACATAAACATCAGACTATCAAAGATCCAGATGAGCGCATTGTGTTTAAAATATTAAAGGGCGGGCGAGATCAAAATGATTTCACCATAATTCTAACATTTACACGTGTAAGTAAATAAAGGGCCTTTTCCATCCTCTTCTTACTAACATGACGTGTGAATCTAAAGCAACAAGCATCACAACACGAGTCAAACATAAAGCACGTTAGGCTAACATGCACTGTGGAAGTAACATAAACACGGGCACGTTTGTTGCTAGCTAAAACAAACATTATCAGTTGAAAACAGAAATGATGTTTACAGCTTTTCTTCACGGTGGGATTCTAAATCGATCTGACTCTGAACATCACCTGTCCTGGGTCTTCTCCCAGGATTGTATGTCGGGGGAGCAGCAGCGGGTCTCCTTGCCGAGCCAGCAGCCAATGTCCCGGGCGGCAGAGTTCCAGCAACCTGTCGGTGAACTGCTCCGATCCAGCCAGGCGGAGGCTCTGCCTGCTGCGGGCTCCAACTACGACTCTGTCCAGGCTGACGGGCTCCACAGCTCGGACGGTTCCGGTACCTCTGAACTGCTGGAGCCCGTGGTGCCGCAGGAAGAGCCGGCTGGCAAAGAGCCGAACCCGTGGCGCTGACTCCGTGTTGGCTGTAGGACAGGTCACTCCGTCGGCCGTCTCTTCTTCGTTAGTTTGCTGAACACGCAGTAAAATGCCCGTCCTGCCGGAGCTCTGAGGCCCCTGAGGAGTGAAGAGGACGGTCGGCGGATCCGTGTCATTTAGGAAGACACGGTCCAAGTGTGGTTTTAACATCAAAACATCCAGAGGACTGAGGTGAGACGGGAAAGTCTCCAAATAACTCAGCTCAACCTGAACCGCCATAACTAATCTTCTTCGGTCCCTCTGCTTCTTCTTCGTTCCGTCTCAATACTGCGACCCAGCGGACGAGTAGAGGAACTACAAGAGAACCTGAGGACGAGCTCGATGCTCGGGTTTTCGTTTCTTTTCATTACATCTAACGATGTACTGCCCAGTGTTGGGCAAGTTACTTTGAAAAAGTAATTAATTATAGTTAGCCTACTAGTTACTTCTTCAAAAAAGTAACTGAGTTAGTAACTGAATTTACAGTTATGTTTTCATTTTGACATACTGTATTAACACAATTGATCTAAAATCAGACAAAAAACAAAAAAAATGAGTAGAAAAAGTTATATTTGTTACTGTAACAACCACAAACATGTTTTTCATAACTTTAAATGCAAATATAAATTGTCAGTTTTAAAATCATATGCACAAGTTTTGCAAACAACAAAGTTATTTGCAGCCATTTACCTTTTTTAACCATGTCAAACTATTTACAGAACCATCAGCTGTTCTGCATTAAATAAGACGCCACACAAATTATTTGTGCCACTCCAAATATTTCTGCCTGTGTCACTGCTGTTTCTACCTGGAGACAGCAGTCGCCTCATTGTTCTGACACACAACACAAA